AATAAATACGAAATGAAGTTTGACATTTGACAGATGGCTAGATTGGGTAGCCACAACGACCACTAAGCCCGATAGACGCCTAATTTATGTACTTCTGCATCCAAACCTTTCAGTCAAAAGTCTGAGGTAAGCGTTACGGGGGAGGCGGGTTGAAATACACGCTGATTGGTTAATTCAATACAAATAGTGATGGGAATCAGAAGTTTTATATCGTATCGTAAGTAGGTATCGTATTTAGTAAAATAATTTTCTGTTTTAAAGAATATTTTTAATTAAGACAAGTTTTCATTAATATAATGAAATAATAATAGAATACTTAATATTATTTATACAGGTTTATTCAAGGTTTATTTACAGTTATATCCATGGTTAAAGTTTTCGGAAACTGTCCATTACACTCTGTAGGACTAAAGTACTACTTATTTACATGAACTTATTATTTATAAAAAAAATACATTAGGTACTTATTACAATTATTTATTCTTTACATTTAGTGTATATAAATATTTATAGTGTATATAAAAATTAAAAAAAACTAGTAATTATTATTATAGATAAATGTCATAATACAAAAGAAATTGATAATAATACATAATAAGAAGTAAAATTAAAATCATCATTATAAACAAATTAAGATTAACAATCATGCATTTTATAATAATTAAATAACTTATTTCTACAAATTTTATAGTTTAACTGGTACAGCACTAGTTACACGTGTCGGTAATTAAAGAAAAGTATAGCAACAATGAACTGCATTGAAAAGAAAGGGATGCATAATCCGAGAATGTCCGAGAATGTCCGAATACATCAACGCGAGTTGCGTTGCGACCAATATAACTTGAGCTCTGATTTAATTACATTTAATGAATTTGGAAATATAAATTCACTTACCTATGAAAAGTGATGCCATTTTTTTAAATTACATGTTTGGCTACTATTTCCATACCATTTTATTGTACAAGGAGCCATGTTGCGCGTCTGTTGTATTTTTGTGTCAGAAATTCGCGAGTCTCAAGCATTGTGTTCGCGGGTCACGGATGTGGTCGCTACTGAAGTAAATCGCGCGATCGTTTTCTCAAGTCAGACGTATTTGTCTAACGTGTTGACCGAAAGTGTTCGCCTTGCGTGAGGTGTCTATTGGGTTGAGTGGTCGTTGGGTAGCCATATAAAAATCATAATGTTAGTTCCATTTTATGCCACGACGGTTCTCTTTCCGCACATACTCTACATAGTTTTTACTACCTATATAACTGTTTAGGCAGCTAGCCCAGAGAAAGCTGTCTAAGTGGTCATATTTATTCTGATTTGCTAGACGTCCTGGTAGTTCAACTAAAGTACAAAATACGTAAATATCAGAATCGGATCATTATTTCCAAAAGCTATTCCCAACATACAAAATTACAAGTTAGTAGATTCCAAAAAAAAATATTATTTGATAGTACTGAAATCCTATTTCTTCTTTTTTCTCAAAGCAAACGAAGTCGTGAATTTTTGCTTGTATAGAATAATTTAAAGATGTCCAGCTACAATGGCTGGACTAAGTAGAAGGTTAGGAGTAATACAATCCCGTTAGATTAGGTATCGCGATCGGGCTAGTTTATTGGAAAGTGAGTTGCTTGGACCGTAGCCGGTGGCCGAGCGTGCGCCTGTGTGCTTTCTGCAATCGCAAGAAAAAGTTTAATTGAAAATTACTTTTCTTATTTATTGCAATAATTCTTGTCCATTTCTAGTGATTTTAAAGGTTTTTATGAAATTCTTTGTAGAATTTGTTCTGGTTCAATAAATACGTGCACGTATTCGTAACTCATTGTGTTATTGTTAATAATAATTATACTTAAGAGAAAATTAGGTTAGTACTTAAACCTAATTTTCCTAAAAATAAAATTTTCAAAATTCCTAGAATTACTAAAAACTTTATGCAATGGTATAATATGACATAACTGTATGTATTCATAATGTCCGAGAAAGAATAATTGTATAACTGTAGGTACAAAAAGAAAGACTATAAAATTCTAACTGCGTGAATATTATAGTATATACTCGTAGGTACTCGTATACAGGCGGTGCACAGGAAAGTTATACATGGTTTTTGTTGTGTTATTGTTGTTTTTGTTGTTGTTACATGTGTTAAAAAATGTCATGAGTTTAAATAAATAAAATAAATAATATCCCAATATATTTTACTCCGAAATCTCAGCCATTAGTAAACCAAATAGAACGGTAACAACTAGCTTCCCGAGATATGAATATCATACTAGCGACTTCGTCCCTAGTGAAAAACAAAAACAAATCTATCGCACGGGAATCGTATATTTTTCCAGACTAAAAAGTAACCTATGCTATTGCACACTATAACTAACTCTGTGCCTTTCATCTAGATCTGTTCAACCGTTCTGGCGTGATTGAGTAACAAACACCCAGCCAAACTTTCGCATCTATAATATTTATTTTATTATTATACTAGCGATTTATTATTGCTTCGCTCGGCTGCATCCCTAGGTATGCGGATTTTGTTCACAATTTCATGTGTTTTAATTTCTTGCTCGGAACCCTGATTCTTTTTGTAAAATAATAGTAACCTAAGTTACTCCTTATAGCGTCAGCAATAAATGTCGAAATCGGTCCAGCTGTTTCGGAGATTAGCCGGGACAAACAGACAGACAAACAGATAGACAAAAGTTGTAAAAAATATTTTTTTCTTATTAGTACCGTATACACTTTTATATGCATTTAATAAAAAGCTGTTATGTTGACTTTAAAATCGGACACTTTAATTTTATTTATCTGTATAGACTATAGATTATGGGATAAATAACTTTTGTATGTGACAGCTATTATTATGATATTACTCGTTTTAGCTGAAAGGATAAAAATTAGAATTAATAGACAGTTTATTGTAAATATGTCACCTTTGACCTTTGGGTATAAAGAATGTACTCATCTTTTATTTAAATTATACTACCTATAGGTACATATTTCACAATTATTCAATATAATAGAAATATCCACATTTCCAACTTGCCATATCGTACCATTGTTAACCCTTATTCGTTTATTGACAATACTAATTTTTAGAGTGCTACAATATATATGTACTTGTCAATAAAAAATAGATTAATAGTCCATAGTTTTAATTATTTTTTACTTTATTTAATTATATTGCATGTCTAATACAGTTACCACTGCATCGCGTGTAACCCTGACGGTCTGTTAATGGTCAAGTGACACAGTTCTTTGGCATACTTTTATTTTACCTTACAAAGTAAGCATTACATATCATATTTGACAATTTATACATTACTTACAGATACTTATAAGTCACATTTTTGAATATTATAAAAGCACTAGCATTGCCCGCGGCTCCGCCCTTGTTTAGATGACCCAAAACCAAATTCTTAGGTTTTACATATTAGTAGGTATACTCTTACATTACAGTTTTTGTATTTTTTCTCAGATATGACATATTTTCCCGCGGTAAAATATCCTATATGTTGACCCGGATAACCAGCTATCACCATACCAAATTTCATCAAAATCCCTCCAGTGGTTTTTCTGTGATGCGGTAACAGACGGACCGACAAAAAAATAAAAACTATAGATTCTGCCTCTGTATAGATAATAATGTTTATTTCAATAAGTTTTTAAAAAAAAATATTTAATGTACAGATTCGGCTTAGTTACAATTTTATTATATGTATAGATTACTTTATTCTTGTTCAATTTTTGATAGTGATTTCATTTACTAGACACGTAGGATGTAATAGAAGCAAGCATCCTATTTTGAGTAATCACGTAGTTGATACGATGTAGTAAGCTCTAGTACCTAAAGCGATATTTTTATTTTGTTATACATTGGTAATTTTATTTGGTCTATTGTTGTTGTGTTGTAATCAAATGTTTTGGGGGGTACCGAGTTACGTGCATTAGTTATATATTATCATATATTATCGTAATACTAGCATCCGCGAAGACAGGTGTGTGCAGCGCAGGCGCAGCGGCGGAGATGCTTGGATTTATCACTTTCACTCTCGTTGGTGCGACAGCAGCGGCTCTAAGCAGGCCGGCGCAGTGCCGTCGCGCCTGTGCTGTCGGTCGCACCGGCGGCAATGTTCTAACGCGTATCTAATTCGCTGATCTGCAATTCGACATCCTGTGTCAATAGTATGCTTCACTGCCTTGTTACCTTGTCTACTCTAAGCTCTGCTGCATATTGAGATCTTGTTGTGAAAAAATCGTCTAATTTTAGATTATTTCATAAAGTGCGCGTTGTTATACGAACTTATCTCAGTGTTAGACAGATTAAGCTGTGGATTTTCGTAATTTACTGCAACACGTCTAACGATTGTTTATAAAGTGGGGACTCTATTTTACTATTTACAATACGCGTCTATGTCGTAGTGATTGAGTGATATTCGAAATTTGCGTTTACTTCATAGAGAAAGTCTGTCAATACAGTCGCTTAGAGTTTTTTAAAATATATGTTTGTGGTGAAAATGCTATAGCTTTCTATACCTACTTTTAAATAAAAGGTTTCTCCAATGAATATTGGAATGAAAATTTATTGATATTTGTGGTATTGTAGCAATACAATAAAAATTAAAATATAAATTAATAAATAATATTCTTAATGTACATTAGACAGATGGTGGTAAAATATCACGTGACGTGCACATAAAGCTCGTTACGACGCTTACTGTAAATAAATAATGACCTAATTGTACCTTACGTCTTTGCTATTTCGGTTCCTGAATGATCGCTATGTGTCGATCTGATTTTGAATGTCAAGCAGTGTCTGATAATACGCTGTAACAATTGTGCATAATTACATATTCAGAGGAGAAACTTGTTGTGTTGAGTGAACTTTCGAAGATTTCTAAAGGACAGGCACTCCCTTTTCTAGACATTCTGAACATTTGTAAATAGAAAAACGATATTTTACATTTCTAATTGATAATAATCAATTATAATTAAAATGGAAGTGACACAGTGATTTAAATATGTATTGTGCCGATATGCCTCATTACGACGAGAGTTTTATCCACGATGATAATCAGAATCAAAGAAGAAATAAACGCAGCTATCGTGTTTATAAAACGGGGCTAAATCCTAAAGGTTTTATAGAATCTAATGATGTGATTCATGCCCTTGAAGGAAGAGGGACAAATGTTATCAAAAAAAATATTATGAATATTAAACAACGTGGTCGATATAAACCAGAAGCATCAACATCACCGTCTATTTCTAAAAAAACTGACTTATTCGTAAGTCGTTATCCCCGTATAAGCACTTTTGATCCCAAAAAGCTCTATGACATACGCAATAATAACGTAGTTTCGTTGACACCGTGTAAGAGTTTTGACAATTTGACATTTAGATATGGTAAGAGAGATTTGTATAAAGATAAAATAAGAAACGGAACAAGCCTCCAGAATTTAGTACCCGAAGATAAATTAAAACACTTTATTTCGCCTATTGAAGATTGTCAAGGATCACGAAAAGGAGACGTTAGAAATTCTTATTCAGTCGTAGAAGCTCGCAGAAAACCTGTGCAACGTCGTTTCTCGCGAACCACTGCAGCTCCAGGTGTTGGAGTGTACAGAAAAATTTATGTAGATGGAATTGAAGGTGACCAAAATGGTACGTTTTTATTTTAATTTCCTCTATCATTTAAAACATTCAAAAGCAATAATACTAGTTAAAATCAATTTATATATGCTCTAAATATGTGCACTTATTAAACCAGGATATAAAATGATCTAACAATTGTTAGATCATTCTACAAATTATTATTAAAGTAATGGTAGAAAGGTATATTTATAAATTGAAATGAAATATAATTTAAAAAACAAATTTAACAAAAACTATTTCCTTGCACGAAACGGAAGAGAATGTAAAGTGCTTTCGGTTTTTCTCCTAGTCATTTAATAGTAGAGTTGCATATAATGGAATCGTTGATATTGTATAATAAAACGTAAGAGACGCGGGAACAATCCATTGTGTATTTGTGTCTATTGTTGTTGTAATGTTAAGGCCGTTAACAAAATTTTTAATAATGACTTAGTGTTCTATAGCTATAATGTATGCCTATTTTGATAAAAGAAACGTGCTTTGCATTATATTATTTTATTAGTTTATACTATTTGTGTGTTTACATAGACCTTTAGATTTAGTGATGGGTACGTACTAATTTCTATAATTCGATTTATTTAGACATTCAGACGATATAGCTGGGTGAGGCCCACTCATTCAGATTGCGATCAGATTATAAGAAACTCTAACCGTTTGGCAGAGAACTTCTGGAATCGGCTCTGCCTAACATCCTTTCCACATTTCGCCCCAATAGTCCAAAACATCCAGGATTGCAGACTTAATAAGTTACAAATATTTTACCATTTTTTTAATCATTGTGAGGTTTGCAATTTAAAGAACAGATAAATTAGCGTTTGCAAAAATCAAAATATTTACATGACGCTATATGTGGTAGTCGTCTAACTCTATATGAAAGTTTAAACAGGATTATGAAAGCTCATTGTAAGAGTTCATAGTTATGTTGTTATTGTATCACAAAATATTATGTCTTTCTTTATCATTTTATACTGAGTCAGGGTAATACAAAGTTCATTTAAAATCCACAATTTAGGCTTCCAAAAATTACCATAATATGCTTGCTTATTCATATTACAAATTCAATGCAACCTAGTGTTATTTTGCGTACGTAACTGAATTAAACATGTTTATAGCAGACTTTGTTCGCCGCCGTGGATGCTTAGCTTTAGTTTGTGTTTATGATATGTATGACGCACTCGAGCCCAGGAAGCGGGCATGACCCGGCGTCCGTCCGGCGCGGGACGGTGCGGTGTCCTCCTCGCCGTGTAGCCTGTCTCAGTCGTCACGCGCCGCGGACTGGGCGCGTCCTGCTGTCGCCTTCGCGTGTATTTTTAAACTCGACCGTCATTGATAAAGCTGTGTTTACTCGTCCTCCTACGCGTCTTACAACATCTTCGGAGTTTTATAGATATTTTTTCGTGATCTTAGTGATGTCATAGTCTTAAGTTGAAACTACTTTGTAATTGCATATCTCGAATCGACTTTTTGCTAAAGGTAAATTGTTTAGATATTTTATATTACACATTACCGAACTCATATGGAGTTTCGACCTACATGAACGCTTTTGCTCAAGTCCTTGTATTATTTATACATACATATATGTAGATATTGAACACAGCAAATTAATGATTCATTCAAGTCAGGTACACTCAGTACACCTATATTTCAAATAAGTCCCCAATAAAATATATTTTATCCTTGTAACTATAGCATATATTAATCATTGTGATGTTGTAGGAGGAATAATACAATGGTTTGATATCATACATAACTATATTAAGTCGTCTTGTTTGTCAGACGTATTACGTCAACAATCCTTCGACTAATTAGCAGTATTAATATTTTATCAGACATCAAAATGGAATACAAAAAGTAGACTGTTGAAAATTGTGATTCTGGATAAGTTGAGTGAGAGTTGAACAAAGCAATAATATTTTGAAGATAAAAATAAGGTTTTAATAGCATTAAATATGTTTTTGTTGTTTTAACTTAGGTATTTGTTAGCATAAGTAAAATATTTATGGCTTAACATTTAACAATAATCATTTTATCCACAGCAAAAATATGTGTGTATTCCTTAGTAGTAGTTTGAACGCGCTAATCTCAGGAACTACTAATCCGATTAGATTTTTTTACATTAGATAGTCCGTTTATTAAGAAAGGCTATATAGGCTATAGAAATATCATATAATATATAGTCTATCTATTGTATACTAAACATTAAATCGTACCTAGGGACGAACACGAGCGAAGCGAGGGTGAGTCGCTAGTTAAGTAGTTAACTATACATTTATATATATTTTTATAAAGTTTATCTTATTTTATATGCCAATTCAACGATACCTCACATAATATGCACTGTTTCTTTTTAATCATTCGTCACATATTATATGGAGTGTCAACCACCAAACCACCATAATTTTTAAATATTTTTAAGACGTACACGTAAAATATATAATATGTACTATCTTTTTTTTGGAATCGTTAAAAATGTTCAACTGTAAGTCGGTCTTGCGCATTGAGAGTGCTCTACCAGCAAATAATAACGCCGGGCCGCGCCACAAGTGCTAATCTGACTCGTACTTGGCCAGTTTTTACTATAATATGCTGTACGATGTACGAAGTATGATGCTTTTGTAATTATAAGAAAAATTGAATATAAAACCTAAAAGTATTTTTTCGTTTTTGTTTGACCTAAAAAAGAGAATGTACTCAATTTGACTGTATTATTTGTTTTTTTTTCGTATGTAACGCGCTATCTTCATCAATAATTATTGTGAATTGATTTTCATATTTCTTTTAATGAATCCTATAGTATATAGTAGTTCTATATAAATTAAAAAGAAAAATCCACCCTCTAAAAGTGGAATAATTTTTAAATAATTTTAATTTGTTGGTCTAACTTTTTTAGTAAACAGACACAAAATTTTAGATTAATAACCGTCAAGTAATTTCATTTATACTTTCTTAGATTTACACGAATATTATTATTTTAAATAAAACTATATTTTGGTCACGGTAACCTTTCTCCCGTGACCATGATTTTAGAAACGTCGGGAACGAAAAATCAAAATAATTCCGAATCCGAAAAGATTTATTCAAAAGTTAAAAGTTTTATTTAATTTCGCTTACTGTACGCTTTTTATTATACAAAGTATTGGTTGTCAAAACAAAAAAAAGAAAAAAATATGTTTTTTCAAGGTAGACTAAAAAAACAGGCTAACAGAGTGTAAAATATATAATAATACGATTACATACATTTACTATTATTGCCTACTGCTTACTACTTTCATTAAATGTAGATGGTCTGTATAAGTAATAACTAATACGTGTAAAATAGCTTATATAAGTACTTTCATTTTTTTTCCATTGGAGGGTTTTCATTGCGTTTTCGGTTCTAATGACACATCATTTTAGAACTGATGAATATTTCTATGACTCATTTAACCTTTACCTATTTGATGTGAGGATCGTATGTCTATCATTACAAAAATAGGTCATTAAAATTATTATTAAATAATTTCAATAATCAATCATTAAACCACTACGGGGTATTGTTGTTAGTTACATTTAATTAATTGTCGTTAAATTATAATATTAATTTAAGGAGCCAAGTTAATTAATAAAACGATCAGTCTTACCAGAGTTGTTTGTTATATTTTATATTAAGTTTGTATACCTCAAAAATATTTTAAATATTTTTTGCCTGTAGTGCATACATACACAGGAAAGGGACATACCGTTACTGCCTACCGGGGTCATCGTTTTGTAAACTTAAAATAAAAAAAAGTACAAATTGATTTTGTTTTTGATTGACTTTGATTATCATAGTGTTTTTATGCCCTTTTAAATATTTCGTGTACGTCATGTAACCTTTTCCGTTTTGGGTATCCTTCCGAGTTCGTTGCCTTATTTTTTCCTTTACTTTAGACTTCGTGTTTATTTATATTTTTCTGTCTTCACGTTTACTCGATGTGTTATTGTAAATTTTAAACTCAATGTCACTACAATTTAGATTGAAATAATCATTTTTTGGTTGTGGCCGGTGGATATTGGGCGTTTATATTGGTTGGATAAAAGGCCATTGAAATTGAATTGAATATATTTTATTGATGATGAAATTAAGTTCTATTTGAGGAACTCGCACGTACCTAAAATTACGATTGCTAAAGTAAAGTTTATTTTAAAGAAATTTTAGATCTATAAAAATATGTGTGAAGTGAAATATTTTTTATATTATTGTGGAAGAACGAGGTCTCGTGTCACACTTTTTATAAACTTATAGATACTAGCAGTCTCTCAATATAATACTTTAAATTTTGTAATTGAGTAAGTTATAAAAACTTCAGAAAAAGAAACAACTGGCTCGATCAAGCAACGAGCAAGTAAAACGTGATGTCTTTATGTCCATAGTTCAGGGCTTTTATGTATTTTATAACCTACATTAACAAAAGAATCAGCAACCACAAAAGCATTAAAGTTTTTTATATATCCACTTAGTAATAAGTTCGTGTATAATACAGACGTAAAAAACCATGTAGTGGCACGTGTTGGATGTGTAATCACAAAAGTATAAATATTGTATTATAGTGTGTGTGATTTGGGTTGTAATTTATTTGGAGATAGTTTGTATTAGAGATGCACCGAATCTGGATTTAATTGAATACGAATATTTGGCAAAATATTCATTCCAAAATGTACCGAACCGAATATTCGGCCTAATTATTCGGTTCATTTTCGCACAGTAATAAGTAGCTAATAAGGTTTTCCCAAAATCATTTTGAATGAGTACTAACCTAACCATTTCATTAGACTTAAGCCTAAACCCGGGTTTAACGGTCCCTGCTATGTATAGATAATATGTTAGTAATACTACAATATGTTCTTAATACATTTTTTTCGATAAATTTATGACCTACAAATTACGATCACAATTATTTAAATGACGATATTTTATATATTCCTACATAGAAAGAGAATTACATAAAAATTAAAAAGAGTCATATTCCTAGCTCCTGTACCTACCTACTTCTCATGTAATATTTATCATCATAATTGTATCATAGCAATACGTAACCGCAATTGATATATTTGTAATGTACCGTGTTTAGCAACTTTGTTTATTCACCACGCATGTACGTAAATGGTTACAGAAAACGAGGTTTGCGGTGAAGCAGGTTCTGGGCATCGTGGATCACTGCGCGGCGCCAACAAACTAGCTCGGCGTGCGCGCTCCTTCAAGGACGACCTACTCGAGCGCATCTCGAACATGCGTTCGCCGGCGCAGCCTCCCCATCCGCCGCATCTCGCCCCAAATATCAGGTCAGTACGTTATCTAGCAACTGGCACGTCCGTTGACGGTTGCGTATAGTCTAAAATATGAGAGATGGCGATATTGAGTAGAAATGTGAAGTAGCTAATATATATCTTACGCAAGTCGTGATTCATTTTTATTTCTCATTCTTCAAAGTATGATTAAAATCGGTTCAATAGCTTCAAAGTTTATCGCATACATTTTTTCGAAGCGAAGAAATGTTTCCTCTTCATAATATTAGTAATTAGTATGGATGCCGTCTACAATCACCATATTAGGTAATATTTTTAGTTACTTTTAACATAACTTAGTAATTATAAAATTTTAACGTCTTCGAATACTTAATCATCTACGTGATTCAAATACCTAACCTTGTTAGCTTATATTATTTGCTATCTACGCAGACTCAGCAAATGGTATATAACTAACAGTAAGTAAAAACTTGCCGCTGCTATAATTGATGAATACAGTTGATCTGCGATAATATAATTAACTAGCGACTCACCCTCGCTCCGTTTGGGTTCGTCCCTATTTACGTTTTAACGTTTAGTATAGATTTCTCAAAGATGAGATATTTTCCCGCAGAAAAAGTATGCTATATGTTGACCCGGATATCCATTATCACCATATCAAATTTCATCAAAATCTGTTCAGTAGTTTTCTCATGATGCGGTAACAGATAGATAGACAAAAATTCTAGAAACTATAGATTCGGCCTCTGTATCGATAATAATTACTATTTCAATAACATTTTCCAAAAATATTCAATGTACAGATGCAGCTTAGTTAGAATTTTATTATATGTATAGATTATATGTATTTCTTTTTATTCCATTGCATGGCTTCCATTGAAGATTATTTTAATATAAATGATTTAACTCTCAAATGCTTTAGTGCGTTATATTCATAAAATACAAATTCCATTCACAAATTTGAATTAAATCAATTGATTAAAAAAAACTATTTAATTAATTTGTTTAGTGGTAGAGGAAATAAAAAAGAATCTTTTATTACGAGTTTTATTTGTTAGTAAATTTTGACAAGTCATTATTGATCTATCGTAGGTACAACTTTTGTCCGTATTTGTCATTACATTATCTTTCACAGTTGTGTACATAGCAATGAAATCTACCCGCCAGCTATTGCTTCTTATCTAAGATGATAATAATGTTGCCTATACATAAGTCTATTATCTTACTGGCAGCGGTTCAAGAAAGTGTCACTCATTTTAAGAATTTTATCTTGACTTCAGTAGTTCTCAAACAAAACATTTTTTTTAGTGTACCACTAAGTAATTTTTTATTGAAATATAATAATATTTTTTGTCAACCTTTGTACGGAATTGTGGAAACGCTTGATGTAGTATTTAATGCGTTAAATGTAGCGGTTATAGTGAGTCACGGCTAGACTGTCGCGCACATTAATGACATTGTCCGCTGAAATCTCATTAGTTCGGTGCGTGCAATGTTAAGTGATTACATTTTAATGTGGACGACCGGCCTGTTGTCAGTGGGTGAATTGTTTTATTTACTGTGCTCTGGACGTGAGTTTATTATCTGAGGTGTTAATATGAAAGTACATCAGTGTATGTGAATATTAAATCTGTGACAGAATATCGTTACGTTTCCAGTGATTTTGTCAGTCTAAATGTCGAACGCTGTACGATCACCCGTTGGATATTGGATAAATAAACGTACAAATAAACTGCAACTACGGCTAGTCAACAATGGAAAACGGTACTGTACTGGTTTTGAAGATTTTCCATAATCACACTTAAGTAAGCGTTGTCCGACACTATGTTACATAGTAACATTTATCTCTCGGCGAACCAATCTCTTAAGCGTTATAAAAGATGACTCTCATTTTGTTTTATTTCCAACTTCGCTCGTGACCAGAACTTCATCAAAAGATTGGCCTCATTTTTAAAGTATAGAAACTTTTTATGAGTATGCTGAGTAACTTCAGAACTAGTCACTTTAAAAAAAAAACTTTTTGATTATTTCATCTCCTTAATTGTTTCATTATTGTTATAATAATCATATCATAGATATCATCAAACTTTTAGCAGCTCGTATTCAAATATGAATAGCACAAAGCACGCATGGGTTCATTAAAGCTAATGCTATTATTATGAATATGTATGTTTATTATTCACTCGTACGTTATTTGAACATGCATATAGTAAAGTGAACCGGGACTTTAAATATCAAATATAGCTTAGCTTTGTTATTCGCGCCGAGCAGGCTCGCATATAAAGTGGCTTCTTTCGCAATACTAAACATTCCACTCAGTAGTATATTTCGGCGATATTTTTATGTAATGGCGTGACTTAATATGTTTTTTCATTTGCTCAACTGTTACCTGCTTGTATGTGCGCAATGTTATGTCGTATTTGAAAGTAGCAGTAGCTGATAATAATCATTGAGAAGATAGTAGTGAAATATTCTAATAAGAATTTTAGCTTTTTTGATAAATCGGGATATAGATTTTATAACTATTTTTAAAGAGCTCTTTGCTCTTTAGCACGGTGAGTGGAAATTTAGAATCTTAGCAACAAATTTTGTGCTTAAATGTCATAATGAAATAATATTAAACAAAAAAGCGAACGTATTTTAATATATAAGATAAGATATATAGGACAAACATGAAGTTTATCTTTTCTATTTGTACGTCAAAAATATCAAGCTTCTAAATATATTTTTCAATTAAATACATGAATAAGAAATGTAATTTTTTTTTATTGATTATTTTCAGATCTCACTCCCCACTTAGTCCGAAGCCTCGAAACATGGGTGCAAAAACGGTCACGGAGGAAGGTGAAATCACCCCTGCCAAAGAACTCGAACGGCTAGTCAAAGAGGTCTGTTTTTGTTCAAATTGCTTATCTTATTTTAACGTACCTACAAGAATTAATAATTACTGCTGGGTAAAAACAAGGAAATCACTTAAGAATGACAATTCGTTATTCATTCCATTCAACTTATTTACCTATTTAATCATGGACGCGATTGTACTGTTTAAGTTGCGTCTTTTATACATTAGTTTTTATAAAAATCTTTAATATATTTTTATTTCAGGTAACATTCGGGCTAAAACATTTCTCTGATGTCATCACAAAGCGGAAACTCGAAATGTTGCCGGACAACGGCACTATTGTTTTTGAATCGATCGCAAATATACACAAAGGTAACTCCATTATGCAATTTTTATCAGCGCACGATCTTTTTTGTGCGTTTTTTTTTTGTAAAACCGAAAACATTGCATTGTTCGTATTCAAATCTGTTGTTATTTCTCAGAATTCACGGGTCATAAATTTAGCAGCAATAAAAATAAAAGATGTATGATTTTCAAATATCGTAAATTACAAAGCGTTTACGCGATTTAATATTAAAAAATTATTCACAGCAATAAAGCCGTACTGCAGCCGGTCGCCACAGCTAACGGGGGCAGTGAAACGTCTATGTACAGCATTAGCGATGCTAATACGTCTATGCGACGAGGTGACAGTGGTGAACTTGCGGCGTGACGCAGACGAGGCTGAAACGGAAGTGTCGACTGCGGCGCTGTCCCCCGAGCACGTGAGCTCGGTGGTGAAGGGCGTGACGTCGGCGGTGGAGGAGGTGGCCGGCCTGGCGCAGCAGCACATGACCAGGCCGGCATTGTCCCCACGCCCCGCGTTGGTCTCGCCGCGATCGACCCAGAGGAACTCTTTACCCGGTAACCCATACTTAATATTATAAATGTGAAAGTGTGTTTGTTTATTTGTTCTTCTTTCACGTCGCAACGGAGAGATTTTTTGTGTGGAGATAGTTGGAGGACTGGAGAGTGACATAGGCTACTTTTTTCCGCGGGAGATTATCTAATTCCCACGGGAAAACACATTATTATACAATCCAAAAAAATATTTATGATCAGAATTACTTGAAACTTGGTATTAATGCTCTTCAATACAATTAAATAAACACGTGTTTTAGTATTTTTTGAAATTCATCATATAGGATAAAATAGGTGATGAAAGTTTGTATGAAAACTACCTTTTTAGATATTTTTGTAGTTTTAACGCGAGCGAAGCCGTGGAATCTGCTAGTAATAATAATAATAAGAACTTTTTATTGCACACACAACGGAGGAAGAAATAAAAAAGAATAATGAATAGATAGTAGGAAAATGCACAACAAGCGGAATTATCACTAAAACTGCGATTTCTTCTAGGCAACCTTTAGGTGTAGCAAGTAGCAAAGTGTGAAATAGAAGGGTGTAAACAAATAACAGAGTTAAGAAAAATAAAAATATAAATGATATATACATACATATGATATTTTATATACGTAACTGCCTGTCTTTCGAAAACTTGCTAAGTTCTCTTAGACATGCAGGTTTCCTCAGAATGTTTTCCTTCACCGTTAAGACAAGTGGTAATCATATTGGAAATGATTCGCACATGAAAACATCAGTGGTGCGAGAACCGGGATTTGAACTCGCTTCTCTCGGTTTCCCAAGCGAGCGCGTTACCACTGGGCTACCACTGCCTGTCAATAAGTTTATATAAAATAAAATAATAGTTTCGGTACTAAAGTGATTTGATATAACAAGCAGTTAAATGGCATGATAGCGTAACTAATTTATTAAAAGTAATAATATTATGTTTATGTAACACGTAAGATGAGGTTAGTTTCCATTTTGAGAAAACACTTGTAATCGTGTTATATGACACAAAGAAATTCTTTAATAGCTTAATCAATATAGCTAATAAGGATATTAGTACTTGGGCCACTGAGCTTCGCTCTGAGTTTTTGTTCAAAAGTACAATTTTCTTTAAAAAAAAACAAATAAATTATACCTTTGTATCCGACCGGGATTCGAACCCGGACACCTATGATTGTCCCTTTCACCCTCTTAAGGGTTGATTCCGGGATAAAAACTATCCTATGTCCTTTCCAGGGTCTCAAACTATCTCCATACCAAATTTCTAAATCGGTTCAGCGGATTAATCGTGAAAAGGTAACAGACCGCCAGACAGAGTTACTTTCGAATTTATATATTAGTATGGATTTGGATTTAAACGTATATTTTATATTGTTATTTCAGATATTCCCCTAACGCCAAAAGAGTTATCATTGCTAATGGGAGAGCCGGGCACGGAGAACAGCGGCGTGCGCGCGTCGCATTCCTCAGAGTCCATATTGGACGCGCCGGACTCTCCTCCGCCGAAACCCGCTAGACCTAACCAGTAAGTTATTTTAGCTAAAACTATTCTTGCTTTTTTTAAAAAGAAATACAATTTTAAGTAACTGTTAAGTGTGTAGGTCTCATCAAAATTAATTAAATGAGCCCGTATTCAAAGGTTTTATTTGTAGCTTTTGTAGAGTTAGAGAAAAATTCAAATTGTCATGCGGATATCACATACAACATATTAAATCACTACGATAATTAGACGTAGTTGAAAATGGATTTTGAGAACACGATTATATCATAGTTGGTTACACGTAAAGCTAATGAAAACATGTTAATTAAAATTAAGAAAATATCACACAAAAATTATAATGCTTATGTGCTTATCAGTGCATGAAATGTATGCAACACAGTTGTCCATCTGTTTGGCTAGAATTATAGTCAAGCCTATGATTTTTGTCCTATAGCTGTGAATTTAAGTTAATTTTTTTCATTTAATTACTTTCTTTATTATGTTGTTCTAGAAAATTTGTAAGGCATATATTAACCAGAACGATGAATATAAAAATAATAATATTCAAACAGTAAAATAAAAATAAATATTGAAAGTAAGTTTCTCCAAGTTACAATAATAATTAAAATGCAACGTGATTTATGCTAATGAAATTGTTAAAAATAGAAATTTTTCGTTTACATAGTGTTCGTTTATAAAAATGATGATTTTAAAAATATTCAAATTTGCAACTTACTGTGAAATTTATCGATGATAAATAAATAATGTATCATAAACTTTTATATTATAAACGCGAATTAAAAAGGAATCGATTGTAAATTGCACGATTAATATTCCATTTTAATCTTTATTAGTATTCATTGATATAAAATTCTCTAACTAAAAACTATTTTAGAATACATTAGAAATCAAGATAGGATTTCTGTAATTGACCTTGGGTTGTTAGTTTTCACTTTCCATATAATTTGATATCGAGTTTGGTCGGTAAAAGTGAAAGTGTATTGCAGGAAGGTAGAGCTGGCCCCGCCGCTGCCGCCCAAGCGCAAGCCCACCGACAACTCCCTACAAGGGCTCTCTATGGACAGGTATAATTACAATTATCTTCGCCTTTAAAATGTTTATAACCACTTTCACTCATCCAGGGAAAGTGCTTTGATAACTTGCCTGCCTTAACTTACTTGAATTAATCGTTTACAAGGAGTCATAACTGCTCAGTTCATCCGGCGATGTGTAATTACAACGTAATAGGTATAATAACCTGTTTAAGTTTTGTGTTAGAATGTTTATTCTACTTGTTGTAATCATATATTATTAGATTACCTCGAATCTTAAAATTCTATGAAGTTTTTATACAAGAACATTTAAATTTGCATTTATAAATAGATTGTTTATTTATTTGTAAATTATTACAAGTAAACAATCTATTTATGAATGCAAATTTAAATTTTGTTTACTTTAATATGGTAAAATGTTATTCATAAACATAATATATATAATAAAATAATGAATGTCCATATTAAAGTTACTTTAGGGCTAAGGCGCTGGACTATTTTCTATTATATATAATATAAATTAATATATATATATATATATTTATAATTGCGAGAGTGTGCGTTTGTATGCTCGCTACTCTTTTACGCTGAGACTGCTGGACGGATTTTTACGAACTATGATCTGAAGTAACACATAGGCTAATGTAAGACATTATGGACGCATTAAGTCACTAGTTACTATATATAGAGAACTTATGTGTATATATTGAATATTTTCCAGATTATCTCTCCAGTCCCACAGCAGCGGCTCGCTGGACTCGATGCTTAATGTGTCCAACGACGAGGAGAGGAATGCACACGACTCTATGAACCATGAAGTGTTCGTGACCGCACCTAACTCTGACTTAGGTATTTATATTGATTGTTAATTGAAGCATTTTTTTATTATATATGTATTTACTTTAAAACAATTCTGGAAAATTTTCTATAAAACTTTTCTTAATAAACTTACTTTGTAGGGTATTTTATATAGATGAAAATATACATTTTCATGGTTGTACTGTCTGTTTGTCTGACTGTTACAACGAGATTTATAAGTTGGTGTGATATTTTGTTTATATTGATATATTTTTTGCTATTATATATTATATTTATTATATGTATAGATAAGCGATAATATGCAAATTTTTAGCATCGACAGTTTTTTATTTATTCAGAATGACATATGCTAATTCCGGTTTATTAAGTGGCTCTTTAGGTGCCACTCTTATTTTTAAATAATAAAAATGTTTATGAGAAATGTTGTTTATGTTTATTATTTATCATATTGTAAGGCCCCAATGAATTTGGCGGAAATCTGTATGGAGGGAGATAGGTTATATCTTATATTAATACAGTTATTTACAAAAATTACTGAAGAATAAAATTGCGCCGGATGTCCTTAAGCCTAAACGATTTCAGAACAGATACTTTGCCCTATAAATGCTTATTTTTATGGGTCATTATGTATAACTATGTATAAATTGATAATATTATTGTTGTCAGGTATCTGCAGCTGCAATAATATTAATGATATGCGAACGTCGGTAGAGTCGCACGAGTCTCACATGAACAATGTCCACGGCCATTCCAACCACAATCGGTGAGTACTCGTATTACCCCGACGTATCATTCGGCCTTAGGTGTTATTTACTGTTCTATTTATTAGATCTATTTTCTTCTATCTTTAATTTGATCTATTTATTGTGCATTTTTTATTTCAAGCTTCTCCAACGAGTCCGGTTTTGTGTCAGTCGGTCAATCGGAGATATCTACAGAACACAGTTTCACATCGACATTTTCTTCGCATCACTACTCTAGTCATACGGACAGGTGACAAAACTCAACTCGTCACGATATAAAACAATTGTTTTTTTTTGTTGTACACTCACTGTTTGTTTGCATTATTCCTTCTAAGATCACTATGGTTATTTGATTTGGCACATTTTGTTTAATTTGAAGTTTGATATTTGTTTTGCGATTTTTTATTACCTTTCACCTATGCACTATCTATCAATACGATTATTTTATTCATCAATATGAAATTTAAATTTATAAAAATACTTTACACAAATATGTACATAATTTATCAAAAAAAAAAACCAATATCACAAGTCAGAATCCATAGTAGCACTATACAACACTATAACTCGTCCACAATAATCCCATCACTCATCATTTAATAGATATCATGCTTCTATGTTATTGTTTGCAGTACTTTTGAAAGTACAGAGTATGTGAGCGAAACGAAGTGCACTATGCAGAGCGTTGAGGGCCGCATGAATATGTTCAGTGTGAGCGCGGCGGCCGCGCACAGCTCAAAGTGAGTGCCCTAGACACGGGAGGGTTGGTTATGGACATGGTTTTTGGTTTTAGCGCTTTCCTAAGTGTTATAGGACTACTATAATAAATGCGATTTGTCTGTATGTGTTGTAATTCTTTCACGTTAAAACGGCTGGAACGATTTGGATGATATTTAACACATCGATAGACCTGTGAACTGGAGTAATATACAGGATTGTTACTGTTAGGAAAGTAGGGTGGTACACAAACGAAGCGGATTTTATATACTTTTTTATTTTTTTATTTACATAAATTAAAATCTATTAAAGAATGGATAATAGGAATTAGATTGATAGAGTAGCCTTTTCAATATAGTGAAATTATTGTATGTTGTTATGATTTTGAAATTTATATACTAATATATTCTTAATGCACTTTTGCATGTTGTAAATTGTATATATATTTGTTGTCGAGTTTTGTAACAATAATATAATTTGTACTAAAATTTGTAACAGGTATTTGTACTTAGCTATATGTACATGTTTAATTTAAAACATAAGTGTAGATTAAAAATGAATTTTATTATAAATCATAAACTACAGAACCCTCCAAAATGTCCAAGTTCACTTACACATTATTTTATTTCTCTTTTATTATTACTTACTTTCATTGAAAAATATTAAATATTTTATATTGTTTACTTAACGAACTTGCAATAAATATCATTAATTGCTTTGAGAATTTAAGTGTTTACATTAATTTAAATTATATGAATATACAAATAGTTAATTTAAAATAAAGATGAACAAATCTTCATACAAAATTAAAAAAAAAATGTAAATTAAAAACATTTACACTATATACAAAATAAATAAAATATACATATCATACATATTAGTAAATGATATGCAATAAACATGAGAGGCAATTGTATAAAATAGAGGCATAAAGAGAATAATTTGGCCGTCGTTGTTGGTTTTGCATTAATAGCAGTTATTGTGGTCATGTTGGTAAGACAGTTTGTTGCGCCAGGTTGGCGAGCATCACGTCGGACGAGAGCGAGACGCCGCCCGAGCTGCCGGTGAAGACGCGGCGCAACCTACGCGCGGACATGCAGCAGTACTTCCCCAATGTTGAAATTAGGTTCGTAATGTTGGTATAGGGCTCATGGTGGATGGTTGTGGAGTTGTCTGGATAATATGAATATTTGGTTGTGAATGTGATCTCTAACACTTAACATCTTGTATTTAATTTTTTTTTGTATATTTTTGTGCAAATATTTGACATAAGACAATATGTTTTGATTTAAAATATACTATAAATATAAAGTATTCAAATTAACCCTTATAATATTAACTAGAAAAATAAAACAATGTAAAGAAAATTCACTGAATAACAATGAAAATAACATTTACAGATGTAATATTTATTTAATAATACATATTTACAATACAAGAAAAAAAAAGATTTTCCATGTGTTTAATTTTATTTTCCATTATTTCTAGGAACACGCCGCCATTCCCGCACGAGGCGCGGCCGCACACGCTGGCCGAGCACAACCACCAGCGACCGCCCCCGCTACCTCTCAAAAAGAAACACAGTCAGTATCACAATATCTTATACCTAATCCCATCCCCTCTATTTAATAATTCTTTCTCTTTCTCTCACTATTTTATTCATATATACTAAAAATCACCTTTAATTATTAAAGGTGGACCTCAAACTATATATCTGGTTTAACTTACTAGTCATACTTATGTCTAATTTCTATCTCTAGCAAGGAATTGAGATAGATAGGTTATTGGAAAACGCTGTTAATCCGTGTTAAGAATAGAAGATTTTCTTTCTTTTTAATTGAAAAGTTGCCTTTCTACTATTTATATCGTTGATAGAAATCTAAATATTACAATTTTATAAAGATAACATATTTTTTAATTATAGCTTGTTATATTATATCATGTTTATCTTCTGTTTCTTAGCAGTTATTATATTAATTGGTTTACTTTTCTTTTTATTAATAATAATTTACTGGTAATTGGTACTGTTATATTGGTTGGTCAGTAAAATTTTAAGACTTAACTAAGGAATATAAAAGGTGAAGATTGTGTCTTATATGAATAATTAATTGTTACTTCAAAATAATTAATCCCTCCACGACCGCGGACAACCCGAGGTGTCAGTTAACAATAGATTTCTTAGAATTTTAATTAATTTCTTAAAAATTTACCTGGAGTTGTATGTATAGGAGAGTATAGCCTGTGTATGTGTGTTTGTACTGATTTGGAATGAATTAAATATATTGGAAGTATGTATGGATGTCACTTGTTCAATGAACTGTCATTGCATGTAGCGTAATATTTGGCCAGAATAAGAATGAGAATTATTCTATATCTGTCGCACACTAAATTGACAAAGTTCCACTCTGAAAAGTATAAACAACTATAAAGGTACAATGTATTTCTTGTTTCTATACATTGTTAAATCTATCTATCTATAAATATTCTAACGAAATTATGATGATGTTTGTCTGTTCATTCTATTGTTATTTCCTACTTTTAATATGACTATATTAATTGGTTGATTGGGGAAAAAATAATCAAAGGAAACATTTAATAAGGTATATTTGATTTCGATGTTTTCTAATTTCTAAAATTGAGCACTTTAGATGCTCAACTAGACCTATTCTTATACAAACATAAAAAATAAAAATAACTACAAATATTTGGTATAATAACTGCGCCTTTGAATAGTGAACAGTGCCATGTAAATTATAGTAAATAATCGAAATCAACAATGCCTGTATTGCTATGGGGGTTATAACGGCATGTTTGTCTGTTGTGCCGGTGCGGCCCGCAGTGTTTCAAAGCGTCGCGTACAGCGGTGAGTGGACTGCATGCGAGCTATACGCACACGCCATCTGCCTAGCGTTGTAACATACGCGTCTGATATGAGTTTGGCAGTTGTTTCATATATAGTGGTAGGGGAGCCCAAGAGGGGATTTTTGTTTGCAGTTGCGCAACGCGGCAGATTAATTAACATAAGGGGGGATACCTTGCACTCTGTTTAGGACCTTCACCATAATATAAGTCCTCTATATAAAGGCGCGCAAAAAGGCAAAAATTGACTATTGTTGATTTTTGCCTCTTCGGCTTGTGCAAATAAGCAGAAAATTGAATTACACCCTTTTCAGGATGTAATTAGCCCACTATACCTTAATCTGACGATTTCAAGTATTTTCTACCTTTTTCTTTCTTTTTAAAATATTTTTTAAATATTTTGATCGGCTGCCCTAGACGCATTCCCTTATAGAGGACTTATAATATGGTGAATGTATTCAACAGAGTGCAAGGTATATCCCCCCTTATGTTAATCTGCCGCGCTTAAGTAACTGCAAAAATGCCCTCTTGGGTTCCCCTACTATAACATATATTTTTTGATAATTTTTAATAATAGTGTTTGTTGAAAGTTGGTTTGTGATATCTAATGGTATACTAATAATTTTAAGATTTAATTGAATTTTGATAAGCAACTGGTCATCCTTAATATCTCGATGCATAGTAGCAGTCGTTCACTCCAAATTTCAGACGGATTGGAGAAGACTATATGCCTTTATTTCTTAGCTTTCACGATACATTTTCTTATAAAACACAGCTTGCTTTAATTTATGGCTATCGCCGCTTAATTTTTGTGTCAGTTAATAACACAAACGGAATTTCGCATAGTTAATTATCACCTCAGATGATGGATGCATTTAGCGCTTCATTACGGCGCCTTTGCTGTTTCATTTGGCGGCATAGAAATACATGTTACGCCTTTTAGATAACATCTATTTGTCAAATTTGATTTTAAGTGGTTCTATGATTAATTTATCGGGATTTTCAGTCATGGCCTATATGGAGATGTTCGGAAACTGCAGTCATACACTCAACGCACATCCGCAGATTAATTCGGAGGCCCCCGCAGATATGTTCCGGCACTCAATACACACGTATAATTTAACGAGGTAAATTACTTTTGCAATAAACAAATAACTGATAGGGCTTAATTGCTTTTTTAATTTGTATATATTTATATGTATTATTATTTATGCATTCCAGTGCGGGTGCGATAAGTGTGGGTCATCATCAAGTGCAAAGGACGATGGCTTCGTCGCTGACTGTTCAACAGTTAAGCACACCGCCGCTCAGGTATATTTTATAATATATAGTCTTTTAAATAGAAGAAAAAATTTGACAATGTCAATACAAAATTTATTGTGTAATCGAAATTTATTTTAAAATATATCCAAAAATAACATTGATAATTGAATTAATAGTACAAAAAATGTTTTAAAACACAACAAAATCGAAAGTGCATAATATTTAACACCATTCAGACAAAGAAAGACAATAGCATTCCCAAGGAGGGTTGACGTCAGGCAGGCGGCCGGTCGTAAAACTTTTGCCAAATCCTATCAGCAGTACACTGAAGATGTACTGCGCCGACCCCAAGTGATTTGGGAAATGGGCAGGGAGAAGAAGAAGAAGTCTTTTAGTTCCGTACACTGATATTGATGGAAAATCCCCTTAAGATGATTTCTAAGTTGTCTATTTACTTGTAACGTACTTTGGTATGTTCAAATGGACTTAACAATTTTATAAGTGTCTCTCACAGTTTGTTTGAGATTTTGAATAATATCATTTGTTGTTAATTTTCGATATCTTGCTTATTATGCCAGCTGTGAGCAATGCAAATATTTTTAGTTTGTTCTTATTTTAACTACACATTTGTTAAGACTTAATAGCAATTATATTTTATCTACAGTGGTTCAGAAGACAGTGTAAGTATGAGGACGTCGAGTAGAACTAGTCCGGTGCCCCCGGAGCCGCCGGCGCTGCCACCAAAGATGAAAAAACAAGTACGTAATATAATCGAAACTAGTGGAAATACCGGATCACTGGATTTCTGGATTTCAATTTGTTTTATAACTCACATTCGAAATCTAGTTGCATGCGAAGTTACCTACGTTATTTCTTGTACTTATATTGTTCCAAACAGTTATTAAATTTTAAAAATATTTAAAATATACAACAACTTATTTATATGAATTGTATTATTGATTTTATAAACTTATATTTATTTTCAGACTATATCAATGAATTCGAGTAACGAGCTGTTACCGCCGCCGTCGCCACGGCCGTCGTCGCACAACAGCTCAGCCGATGAGTCTATTATGAATAATGTGGTATGTTTTACTTGTTTTAAAATAATTGTAAGAATTACATGTATTAATAACAGTAATTATTAACATTACACGCAACAAAATTTATTAGAGAACTAACCTTAAATGTGGTATATATATATATATATATATATATATATATATATATATATATATATATATATATATATATATATATATATTTTAAATAACTAAAATGGTATTATCGATAGAGTTCCGATGATTTGTACGTGAGTTCGTCGTCGCCGGGCAAGTTCCCCGTGGACGAGGACGAGCTCTCGAGGATGGTGCCGGTGCCCTCCCCCGCACCCTCACAGGTACATATGCACATGCTTTTTATGTTTATATACTGATATGTTATTAATAATAATAAAAATAATTTTTTGGGTGTGCCTAAATCATATATTGTAAGCTTATAAGTGTCTGTCCGTCCAACGCATACTTTTTTTAGATGTAAATATTTCAAAAAATGATTCGGTTTTCAAAATATTTACGTAGAAAAAAAATTATTGAATACTTCCGATCTGACACTAGAAAGTAAAAACAATCTACTTAATTTTTTCAAGAAAGATTTACTTATTTAGAAAAACGGACTACACAATAAACACTTAGTGTATATTGTGTAGTGGTAAGAAAAATTAAAAATATGTTATATATTTAACAGAGAAGTGAAAGCAGTACAGAGCCGGCGCCGGCCGCGGCCGATACAAACGCGACGCTCACGTCCGACGCAGACGACATCGTCCTACACACTGACGTGAATAGCTGGCTTATATTAAAGGGCGCCACCAAAGAAGGCACGGAGATACGGGAAGTGCGCGGCGGACATCCGGACGCTCTCATCGTACTCGCCACTAAAGCTACCAAAGGTAATATTCTTTTTATATATATATATATATACACTTTTGTTTTATTGGGTCGAGGTTTACAAACTAAACTAGTAACATATACTTTATACATAGTCAATAATAATTATGGGGAAGGGTTCAGACTTCAGATTCATTTATGTCACAGCATGTTATGTTTTCATTTAAGATCTTCAATAGAAAGTTACTATTAGTATATATTTTATAATGTAAGATATTTCTTAAATCATTTAAATTCATTAATTGAATAATGTTGAAACTGTTTTCATTACAATTTCAATAAAGTATTTTTTATTTCAAAAAATATTTAATTTTTTAGAAGTACTTAGATATTTAATTCCAATTTCTCCCATTTGATCTTTGTGAGTTTCATAAAAGTAATATAAAACAAAGAACGTCGAGCAACGCTTCTAACATCTTAACTTTCATGCTTTCACTTTACAGAAACGGACGAGTGTAAGTGAATCATAATATGAGTTGGGGCTGAAAACACTTGCTGGTTGAATACTAATATTATTAAAGCTTAGCCGATTTCGCTTAATATGGTTTTAGAGGCACTTTTTTATAATTATCATATTTATTTACATATTGTGGGATATACTAAATATTCTTACAGAATTAATTCACGCGATTTGCTAGCGTTGAAACTTACACGATTAATAAAAGGCATGATAATTTTAATGAACTTATAAGTATATAGTATGAATATTTATAAAATATAATATATACGCATATCGCATTTGAGCACACTGCTTTAGCCTAGAGTTAGTGTAACACATTTTGTTTTGAATAGTGTTTAGATAAATTATTTGTAAACAAATTGTGTTACCGCTTTATTATCTAGATGGCTTATAAGACGTATCATGTGAATTGTTTAATTATTATATTTAGCGATAATTTTATAAAAATAGCCAAATATATTCCATTTACTTTCTATCTTTACTATAATTGTCAAGTACAAATTTATATAAACAATAAATTAAATATGGGTTCAAAAACAACCAACAATAAAATCTGTAAACTTGATTGAAAGGAAATGTTTGTTTGCAAAATTTTATTTATCTGTATAGTCTCAAAGACCATACACTATATGTAAAATGTTACAACAAGAAACATCACACATGCAGTTCACACTATACGTTTTTCGAACCGCAAAGCGATTATCTAAAATAAATAAATAAATGTATACAGATTTTGCGTACCAAGAAGCGTTCTTAGCGACATACCGCACGTGGGTGTCGCCCAGCTCGCTGGTGCACAAGCTGGTGCGGCGCGCGCGCCACCACCGCCCGCGCCCGCATGAGCTGCGCTCCACGCTGAGTCTGCTCACCAGGGTCGTTGCTGATCTCACGTGAGTTAGACTTTTGTACTGCTCTATGGATTATTATCTATATATAGTATAAAATATAGTCGCTCCCGCTCTCTGTACGCTTAGATCTTTTAAACTACGCAACGGATTTTAATGTAGTTTGCAGTTGCAAATAGATTTTAGTTGTAAACAGTTTTCAGTGTTAATAGATAGAGTGATTCAAGAGAAAGGTTTAATGTATAATACATTCATATTATAGAGCAGAAAAGCCGAGAAATTCAAAAGTTGGTATTTCATACTAACCTTTAAAATGTACCAAGGTACGAACCCGAACGAAACGAGGGTGAGTCGCTAGTCTTCTATGTAAATAATAATGATTGTACATAATAATATCTTTGTCCTCTTTGCGTTCCTATACTGTTAATCCAATTGTGATGAAACTCTAGTGGACTATTACAAAATACGCCTGCTAAATCATAATACGCCTGCGAAGGTCCTTGGCCCAAAAAAAGAATTTTTCTTTAGACTATGTCTTTTACCCGTTCCTAGACCATTCAAAGTTAGACATGTAAATATCTAAGAGTGGCGCGATACAACCAGTTATTGTGTTTCCCGTGGGAATGAAAGATTTTCCTGTAGTAAAAGATAGGTATCCTAAATGTTGACCCGAGTATTATGTTATCACTACACAAAATTTAGTTAATATCGGTTCAGTACTTTTTGCGTGAAATGCGCACATTGATTTCACTATTTTACTGTTTTATTATATCTATAGATAATAATATATAAACGCGATTTGTATATGTGTATGTATGTTTGTTATTTGTTTACACTCAACGTTTGGCCGGATTTGATTTGGATGTAATTTAGTACTAGGGTAGGCATGGAGGAAAAATAGGTTATTGTTGGGACCCTAAGCGACCCACCCGAGTGTAGCGAGAGTAAGTCGCAAATAATAATATGTATAATAATTATTAATATTTATATATTCTTAGCTAAAAATAAAACTTATTATTTTTGAAATAAAAATTAGAAAATATTTCTGATATGTTTATTGTTTATATTTATTAGCAAAATAAATGCATTTTAAGGATGGCAGACCTCGACCGACCACTGATGCAGGAAATAATGGAGTTCATCTACTGGCTAGTCGAAGCGGAGGAACTGCCTATATCAAAAGCTTTGAGACAAATACTTGTTGATAAGCAAAAACAGTTACATTTCCAAAACGTGAGTTATTTTTAAATTTAATGTTGATTTGTTTTCTCTCTAGATTTCTTATGTTTTTGTTTAATTATCATTTTTCTTTAATGTTATTATTATTATAATTATTATACTTCATCTTCCAAAAATAAAACAAAAAATAGTAGCAATTTTACACTCATATTTTTTTACAAACGTGCCAAAAGAAGTATCACTTTTGTATAAAATAAATAAATAATTATTAAATAATATTTATATAGTACTAGCAGAACCCGCGGCGTCGCTCGCGCTAAAACTAACCCAAAATTTCTAAAAAGGTAGTTTCATACAAACTTTCATCCCCTATTTTACTATTTTTTTGAATTTCGAAAAATGCTAAAATAAGTATTTATTTAATTTTATTGAAGAGCATTAATACCAAATTTCAAGTAATTTTGATAATAAATATATTTTTGAATTGTATTATAACGAGTTTTCCCGTGGGAATTAGATAATCTCCCGCAGTAAAAAGTAGCCTATGTCACTCTCCAGCCCTCGAACTATCTTCACACAAAAAATTACGCCAATTTGTCACTCCGTTTCGACGTGAAAGAAGGACAAATAAAGAAACGCACTTTCACATTTATAATATTAAGTATGGATTATGATTCGCAGACAAGCAACAGATACGAGTACGACACGCCCTGCTACGGCACGGTGTCGCTGCGGCGCGACACGCTGCTGGACTTCAAGTCGCACGAGCTGGCCGACCAGATGACGCTGCTCGACTCGGCGCTGTTCGTGCGCATCACCTCCGCCGAGATGCTGTCGTGGCCGCGCGACCAGTCCGAGGAAAGCTCGCCCAATCTGACACGCTTCACTGAACACTTCAATAAGATGAGTTATTGGGCCAGGTCGAGGATATTAGAACAGGTGTGTTATATTATTATATTGACATAGTGTTGTATATTAGACTGCGTCAGTTTTTTTTTTGAGTAAGTACATCTAAAAAGTTTTTTGTTAGACAAAATAAAACCTCCTAAAAATGAGCTTGAATTCTTGAAAATTGAGCTGGCGCATGGGGTCCCCTTTCCCACTTAAAATACCTTGAAAATAAAAAAAACTATTCCTTATATTCATTGTGAATCGTCGAAAAAAAATTTCAAATTTCCCGTTTCGTTATCTTGTAGGAAATTAAATTCTCTAAAAAAAAGGTCTCTTTCATTTATTCGCTAAAACGCATAGGAAAAAACTTACAAGGCTTTAAAAACGAAAAAATTATAAAAAGTCAAAAAAGTGCGTATCAATTTTTCTATTAAATAGAACAACATTCTTTTTTATTAATTTATTAGTAAATTTATTTTATAATTTTCAATTATACACTGTTTTAACGTATACTATTATTGTATATCAAATTTTTTTTCTATATATTTACTCTTCTTGACTGTTAAAGTTTAAAAAATTCTGTTGCAATTTGGATATGATTTACGATGTTGCTGGACAACTTTTCATCGATTTGTGAATATTTAAAAAATATAGTTTTTAGTGACATTTTTTATATTATGTAATGTATTAGTAGTTGTGTTATTTGTTGTTAGTTTGTTGCTTCTTTTCGTTTTTTCATTGATGTAATTTAAGAAGACTACAACAACATTTATACATTAAAGATTGATGGATTGATTTATATCTATCATATTTTCAAGTAATTAACAAAAAAACTGTACAAATCAGAATAATTAAAAATAAATTGGTTTTTTATGTTTGGGACCACTCTCGAGTACCTTTTCTAAATTATCAAAATCAATTTAGAATAGGCTAAAATATCGCGTATTAACATATGGATTCGAGTATCTTCTTATTTTTGAAGTCGGTCAAATACAAATTTTCATTCATAAATAATTCAAATGCTGTATTAACAATGATTGTATATTTTGCAGTACGAGGCTCGCGAACGTGAGAAGTACGCGAGCAAAGTGCTGAAAGTGATGAAGGAGCTACGCAAGAGGAACAACTTCAATTCGTACCTGGCGCTGGTGTCTGCGCTGGACTGCCCGCCCGTGCAGCGCCTGGGCTGGCCCGAGCGCGTGGCCGACGCGCTGCGCGACCACTGCAAGCTCATCGACAGCTCGCACTCCTTCCGCAACTACCGCAGCGCGCTCGCCGCCACGCAGCCGCCCTGTATACCCTATATGTGAGTAGCTAACACGCAGTGTCGGATTCAACCTTAGCGCTGCCCCTCGCCGTAAAAAATGCCGTCTAATTATCGAATTTTGTATAAAGTAGATTAAGTTTAGATAAAGTTTATAATTTGGATGGTATTTTTGTATGAAAATCTCAATACTATAAATTATGACATTTAGTTTGATAGTGCTGCTGCTACATGTTTTCATAAACACAAAAACATTGAATGTTTTAAGGTAAAGATATGATCTCTCTATAATTTTATTACATTTCTAGAACACGCAAAGCCGTTGTGCCATTGAAAATATCTCTACACCTGTCTAATCTCAATGAGATTGACCGCTGGGGCCGAAATGTCACGAGAACATTATTCTTTATAAAGATTTCGGCGTTTTTCCAATTGACCACAAGAATTGATTCATTAAGTATTAATTTTACTACCTGGGAAATTTTATCATAAATTATACGACGTAAACATAATAACGACGGTGAAGGAAAACATCGTGAGGAAACCTGCATGTCTGAGAGAACCTAGCAAGTTTTCGAAAGACATGTGAAGTCCGCCATCCCGCACTTGGCCAGCGTGATGGACTATGGCCTGATCCCCCTCGTACTGAAGGGAGGCTCGTGCTCAGCAGTGGGACGTTAAAAAGGGCTGAATGCAAAAACATAATGTATAAAGTGTTAAAAGTTGCTAATAATAATAGCTAATGCGGGTTCATTTCTTGCAGCGGTCTATTTCTTCAAGATCTGACTTTTGTACACGTCGGAAACCCAGACCTACTACCTGACGGCAGTATCAACTTCACAAAGCGGTGGCAACAATATAACATTATGGAGAATATGAAGCGATTCCATAAAGAGTGAGTTATCCGTATTATTTATATTATTTAATATTATAAATGTGAAAGTTTGTGAGTATGGATGTTTGTAATTCTTTCACGCATGAACGGCTGAACGTATCTGGATGAAATTTGGCACAGAGATAGATTATAGTCTGGAATAACACATAGGCTATTTTGTATCCCGGAAAAATGTACGATTCCCGAGCGAAGCGAGGGTGAGTCGCTATTTCCAAAGAAAAATGTTGTGGATATGCGTTCAATTCTTATTTCACATAATTATTTGAAATTTAACCATATTATTATTAAGTATTTATTTATTGCTCGATTAATGAAAGCTAAAAATATTTTTTATACCAAAAACGTATTTTTTACTCAAAGATATAACACCGTGTTGCTGAGGATATGTATTAACTTTGCAAAATGCTTTTATAGCTTTTACTAAACATATCTTACAAAAGAAGTAGTACATTATAAAGTTTAAGCTATTTGTAATTTTATTCAATTTTATTTGATTGTACAGTGTAAAAGTGTCTTCATTTGTGCTATGTTGACGTTGACTGCAGTCAAATCATTCACACTACCTATTACATTTCATTTGCACTTTCACATTTATAATATATATTAAATATGGATTTTATACAAGTCATAGTCTTTGTGTGACTAAAGTCTCAATTAAAAATTTTCTATTGGTTTTCTTCTTAAATTAACTATACGCAACTTTGTTATAGCAATAAATAACCAATTTTTTTACATGAGATAGATTATATTTATTGTTTTAACAAATCTTTAACAAATGACAAAGCATAGTTAATTTAAGAAAAAATACCTATAATATTTTATTCTGAATTTCGAATATCTCAATCTGTTTTTTTTTTAATTTGGAAAAATGCAAAAAAAAATAGTTGCATGTTCTCACATGGATTATCTATAAGGTTACATTTATTATAGACAATACAAGATAAAGAAAAACGAGCGCATCCAAGCCATGTTCAACGAGTTCGACGACGTGCTGAGCGAGGAGACCATGTGGCAGATCTCTGAGACCATCAAGCCCCGCGGCGGCCGCTCGCGCAACCAGTCCGCGCCCTCGCCGCCCGCCGCCACCGCCGCCGCCGCCACGTAATGGTAACCAATTACTATGTATTGTTATCAGGGGTGCCAGGTAACCGTCGTGGATTTACCCGACCAATAAACATCAAAATACCCGGTTTATCCCGCCGACGCCAACCATGAGCAAAATACCCGAAAATAGTTTTTTAAGTAATCTATTCATGTTTTATATAGAACTAGCATTACCCGCGGCTCCGCCTGCGTTCAGATGACCTAAAACCAAATTCTTAGGTTTTACATATTAGTATACTCTTACATTGCAGTTTTTGTATTTTTTCTCAGAAATGAGATATTTTTCCGCGGTAAAAAGTATCCTATGTGTTGACCCTGATAACCAGCTATCACCATGCCAAATTTCATCAAAATCCATCCAGTCATTTTTCTGTGATGCGGTAACAGACAGACATCTAGTCTATACACGTTAAGAAAATAGTGAGTCATCAAGTGCAACGGCAGGTTAAGGTGTATTCACAGTGGAGTAAAAATTCAATTCAAATGTATTATTTATTTCAAAGGATTAAGTTTAATGAATATTTCTAATCAAAATAAATTCATTAATAATATATTTAATCAGTATCACAAGAATCTTCGTTTATATTTATTATAAAAGAATTTTGTTCTTACGAAAGTCTGCCTTCAACTGGTCATTGTGGACTTGACTTTATAATTTCATGCAATCTAATTGGTTGGAGGGCGTGGCTAGGCCGGTGGATAACGAAGACTCAATATTTTCTTAACGTGAATGAACTATAGCTGCTAATTTTGAATGATTTTTCAATAAATATTTTCTTTTACAGGTAAAACGTCTCCATCCAAAGAATTAAAACAAAGAAGATAAAAAAGGAGAGAAAAAAGGACATGACATAAATGTGAGATTTTATCGATGAGGAATTGTTTAAATTAGATAAAATATTGTGATTATCTGTCCTAAAATGGCCTAATTATTTTTAGTATATTTATTGGTAATGCGATTTCAACTGTGATCGGTCCGATTGTGAATAGACAGACGCTTGACAGATCCGCTAAGTTAGCTCGCTTGCGCTCGGTTTTAGACTACACCCTAGTGATATATAATCAAAATAAATCCTCACACGATATATAATAGGTCAATAACTAAGCAAATAGCCTTGACGTCTAAAAAAAACAAAACGGGAAGCCAAAAACTATTTATCAGTATTCTTACCCTACACTGTCATACATATCAGAATGTGACTTGAATAGGTAACAATGGAACGCGACGCTTAGATTTAATATTCTTCTAGTTGTTGTGGTTCGTCGATGTCATATATATAACATAAGCTTACTACATCTCAATACATCGAATTAGAGGAATTCTTTTCAAATTGTAATAAGTAGTGCGAGTTGCTATATAGTTAATAGTAGACTTAAACGTAAGTAGCGCGTATGGGGAGGCTAGAAATCAATGAAACATGGTGAATATAACACTTTCTTAGATTTACAGCGATTATCTGACATTTTAAAAAAAACCTTTTTTTTCCGGATGTATTCGCGGTTTTATTTTCACAGAAGGGTTTCTTGTCTCAAAAGTTATTATATAGTTATTACAGATGGCTTCTACCCACAAAATTATACATTTATTTGGAAGAAAAGAAGCTGGCACCGAAATACTTCACAATTCCAAAAATTCTATAAATGATTCATATCAGCGTAGCTATAGTTTAACAACAAAACCTTGGTCTCTCATGTGACCATGATTGCTGTTGATGATTGATGATTGACATGATTGATTCGAGACGTCGGGCATCAAAAACCAAAATAAAACCGCAAAAATCCGAAAAAAATGGCTGTGTTTAAAATGGTGTATATATATGATTTACTATGGTATTCAATTTGAGAAGTTATTTACTGATTTGTTGTTTAGGGATACGACCTTCTAGGGAGTTTTTGAGACATAAATGAATATTAGTTCACATTAGCGACCGCAATTTTTGATATATTTACTTTGGATGAGTATTATTCGTACAGAGATTGAAATAATAGAAAAACTATCCAATAATTTTAATGGATAAATATTTTTAGGTTTGGTTATAATATTATGTGACTTAAACATGCGCAGAGCGTGACTCGTTCTCATGTAGGTCAAATATTTACTATTGCATATTCGCCTTCGCGATCAGTAAATAGTGGAAATTTCTTAATATTTTATTTTGAAATTGAATCATATGTAATATAGGCAACACCAAATATTTTTAATATGTAAGATTAATTTTTATATAAATAAATATTTCTTTGGTAATTTTTATACATATTACGAATGAACAACGAATAACAAATATATATACTTTTTTAAGTATTATATTTATAATTTTATCAATTTTTTGAAGCATGTTAGCATGACATTTCGCACGTTGTGCGGATATTAAGAAATTTCCTATTTTCGACAGGTTTTTAATGCAATTTGGAATTGCAACTTGCAATGGGACACACCTGACCGGAATACTATAAATGTATACATACAGGTTTACGTCTTGTTGTTAGTTCAACTGAATTAAAACTTTTTATAATATATTCTTTTGGCCAGTTTCATCTACAATGTGAAACATACCTAAAACAATTGATTTCAACTCTATATCAGTAATTTTATAAATAAAACATAGACTGTAATGTAGACTGTAGCGTACGTAATGCGACTTCGTGTACAATTTAGGTAGACCATTATATTAGGAGATAGGAGAATGCGCACACTTGTTATATTACTATATCGAGTAATATAAAAAGTTTCGGCTGTAATGTTGTAATTAAAAGTGTTTATTGGACTAAAATAATAATTGCGCTAAACGAAATCGTTTTTGAATAACAAATCATAAATAATTTAATTAAAACCCAAGACAAGTATATTATAGTAACTTTTGTCATATTTATAATACGCATTAAGTACTAAAAGTGAGAACAGTTTTGCAGGTCGCTCTTTGCTATACAAAATGGTGCGGTCGGTTCTTCTAGGAGTCTTAGACCTTAGCACATATGATTTACGCAATTAAATATATAATATGTATATTTACGCAATGTTTTGCGCATATTCTTAAAGTAAAATTTGATACATATTTTTATTTTTGATAATCAGAAATTATATTTTTCCTATAAATTGTCGTCTACAAGGCGGCAAGTGTTTACGAGAAAGAATACTTTTGAGATCTTAAATCGTTTATAATGTCGTCGTCACTATTCGTGTCATTTTAGTATTTATTAAAGCTTAAGATGCAGCGAATAACTCTATTTGCATACACATACATATATAGTATTTATAATAATATAGCTCAATAGAACCGCGTTCATACAGTGGGACATGTAACTGGAACTGTAAATATAGATAATGCCAATAAAGAAATACCTGGTTTGGTTAATTTGCCTTAAGACGATTGAGTCATGAAATAGCAATAATTTTTTATCGTAGAATTGTTGCACATGTGTGATAATAACCACTCACGAGAGTGCCGCTTACTACTCTGTTGACGTCCTCTATACGTAGACAAATTATTATATTAGACAAATATTAGCGGTAACCGTATATAAACCCCATGTATCTTATTAAATAAATCTATCATGTATCTGTAGCGACAGATATACAAGTGTTATGTATGTCGAATTCATTTTTGGTCGCTATTTATATCAATAGGATCATCGAAAATTATGAGCTGGTCTTAACGTTGTGACAAACCTTACATACTCCATTGTGTAGTAGGGACGATTAAATTACAAAACTTATCAGTTTACATAGCAAATTATTTTAAAATTTCATAAATTTCTTCTTTTGAATAGTCTAGTTAATAGTTTTGTTAGATACGGAAAATAAGAGAAATATGTCAAAATTTCACTTTGCTGTATATTTTTTTGACGTGAAACGTCGTTAAAAACACACCGAAACATACAGGTACCAGGTCAAAAAAGTGGACCATAACGAAATGATCTATAACGTTTTACCCTCGTAATTACAAAACTATTAGTCTTAAAAACATAAACCTAATGCTTGGTAGCCAACCGGAAATATAAATCACAGCTGTCGGAAATAGGGGGTTATGGGTTACGCATAAGTACCCCAATGTGCGGGGCAAAGCAAGGGAGGCGGTTCAGAGAGCGTCTCAAAGCTGCAAGCAAAGGCACGCTCAGTAAACAACGCCTAATGTTTCTTATTTCTCATATCTGAGACCAATTTTTAACGAAATTGTTGTCCAATATTAATCGAAAGAACTTTATATACACTACATATTCAATGACAGTATAGTATTAAAATAATTAGAAAGAAGTCAATGTTGTTTTCATTCTAACTTAACAGTAAAAGCGACTCGCTGAAATAGACGTTTCACGTTAAACCAACGGCGGTATGTCGCCCCTGTTGAAAAAGTCCAATAGAATCCCATCAAAAGCGACAAAAGCCACATAGAAACCAATAAATATTTATTGGTTTCTATGTGACTTTTATCGCTTTTGATGGGATGCTATTGGAGTTTTTAAATAGGGCCGACACAGCCCCATCCGATTTTTATGTTTAAATTAATTCAATAAGAAAACAATACGAAGTAAGATTTGTCACGACACTTTTGTATACAGTTATGTAGACATAGTTGGTATGATAATTAGTTATGTTGTATTTGGCAGTGTAGATTTATAAAATGTATATACAACGATCTGGTAGTCGGTGTATGATCACTGGGACGCAGTAAGTAATCCCACGCAATAAATGACTAGACCAATATTTTAAATGTTTTACAGTGCTTTATTAATAACAATGTGCTGATATTGTAATTTGTATGTAAAATAATTTGAATTATCGTAGTTAAGTTGGTAGGTGTGTTACCATTTTTTTTTTGTTTGTTGTATGTAGGCCTGGTTCGTACATTTTAGTTGCACCGTCGCGTTGCGTCGTTGGTAATCATATCGCTAAGTAATTATTGACTTAATTATAATTTTATTATAATTAGTTAATTCATAGCCAATAATTATAATTTATAGTTCCATATGTTACGCAATCAGGCCACCGGTATCGTTTGT